GCATTTTTCACTCTAAGTCAAGCCATGTCATTCCCTCCATTTAGAAAACTCCAATTGCTTCCAGGTTCACTAAGATAATAATTTATGCTCTTTTACAGGGTCCCCAGAGACCCTACGAGACTTGGCCTCTGTTTACCATCTCAGCCAAACCTCATGAGATTCTTCTTCTTGCATTCTGGCTACAGGCATGTTGGACTCTTCTTACAGTCTACATCACACTAACCTATTATCTACCTTCAGACTTTGCACTTAATTGTTTTGTTCCCTCGGAGAATTACTTTTCTTTTACTCTATTCATGCCTGACACCTTTAGGTTTTAGCTTAAAAGACTTCCAGGAACACCAAATCTGAAATAGATCCCTCACCCATTTTTTCCCCTTTTAGCATGCTATTAGATTATCCCATAGCATTTTCATTTAATTATTTTATTATTTATTTGTTATTTTCATCTCTCTATAATGCTTAGCTGTAAAGTCTGTGAGGGCTCATATCAGATCAGAATGATATCTTCACAACCTTACATTGTTCCTGACATATAGTGGTCTCTCAATACAGATTGGTTTCACAAATGAATGAATGAAAGAATGAGACAAATTGGAAGAGAATGAAGCTTTATGTTGCTGAGAAGTGCTCTTTTTGCCTATGTATTTTTAAAAGCATTTCTCTATTGACATTTAATTAATAAGACTAGCACAAGACACATTAACTTTTAAATGGAGATACATAGATTATTTGAAAACATTGCAAATACAATTTGATTTTTGTGGGGAAAGCATTCCAACTTAACCCAAATGCATACAATTTTCTGTGTTTTCTTTGCTATTTGAAAAGTTATTAAAGCTTTAGAATAAAAGTTCTTATCTCACTTCTTCAGAGCAAATGTAATTTAGTTTATTTTAAGGTCCTACTTAGTAGCAAGAAGGCATGTTCAGGAAATTTGACTCTTGATAAACAGGGCAATGCAAGAATGCCTCAGAAGTGGATATAGGACCAGCTGCCCGACTAAGGTTTTAAAGATGAGGGTGTGTGTTGTGACTTTACCAAGAAGTAGCTATAGAATTGGTGGGCAATTCATTACAAATTTTCTCAGCCTGTTTTCTAACAGAGGGATGATGCCTGTCTTACTTATCCCTTTGTGTTGTTGTAATAATCTTAGTAAATAATGTGAAGTCCACTAATGTGAAGTCCTACTATGTTAGTGAATAACCTTACAAAAATGACTCAAATGCTTCATTCCCATTTCAGAGAGGTTGCGGAAGATGATTCAAAGGCAATGATCTGTATTTGAAACATTTGTTATTCTGGATCATGTGCCTCAAAATACTGAGCTGTGTGAAAGGCTGTGCAACCCTTCGATAAACAGAAAATGAGTAATGGCAGGTTTCCTAAACCATTTCCTGGTAGTCAGTAAATACCTTAGCTATGCATTTTTAAGAAAGCATATAACAGTGTTGAAAGTGAACAAGAGCTAGGGGATTATTTTCTGACTCCTTTGTGGAAGGTTTCACTTGTGTGCTATATCCACACAGGTGAAAGCTACTTCAGGATGATAGCAACTGATTTGTCAGAGTTTGAGAGAACTACATCCTCTCGGAAGTACGAAATCAGCTTCTCTCACCATGACTCCTTCCCTCTCTTCTCGCCTTTTCCCCTTTTCTTCTCCAATGGGAGAATGTAGGAGACAAGGGAGAGGAGATCCTGGAGGGATGTAAAAAAAGGAAACCATTTCAGTTCCTTTTATTTCCCTATCACAAGCTGTGCTGCTGAGTTAAAAATATGTAATTTAGTTTCCAAATCTATTTCAACCCCTGCCTGGCCTACTGAGCAATCACAAACCATCCAATTTCAATTCAAATCTTTGCTTTTAGCTTTGTTTGAAATGGAACACAGCAAAGTTGTATAAACAGATATAAAGTAAATGCCCCACAAAGAGCAGAAGCAGGATTATAGGAACCAGGAAGTAAATCCATATTTATAGCCTACTAGTCAAAATCTGGATTGTTTTCATTTTATTTTTAAAATACCAAATTTTCCACAGAGTATCCAATGTCATAGAAGGGATCTGACTTGTGGTATCTAAGAGTCTGTGCTAATGATGAAGTTTCTCATTGTTTTCCGTGGTACACATTTACAACTTCATGTAAACAGAAAACACATTTTCTGCAGGTGAGAATCACTATTCCTCTGTCACATTTGGAATACTACACATTTACAGAGAATGACCCACTTCTAAAAAGTGAATCACATTTACCACAAACATTTATCAGCAAAGCCAAGAAACAAATAAACAAACAAACAAACAAAACCCATGTTATGCTATTTAGTAAATGTTTAAATGGTTTACCAATTAGTAATGCTGGAAGTAATGTTAATTCAACCCCTTCTCATAAAACTACAAAAATGTTTTCAGGTGGGTAATGCAGAACTTTTGGCAGTGACAAATTACATGACTAATAATGTCCTTGAGACATTTAGTAGAATTATGATTAACCAAAACCCAGTAATGGCTCACATATATTGTTTTCACTTATGTTATTGTCAATATAATGGTATGGGAGAGAGCAGATGGTAAGAAGGATCCATCTACAATGGATCCCTTCTTCCTTTTGAATTATAGCTTGCATTATAGCCAGCTGGGCAGGTATTATTTTAATTTTCAACATTTATAATCAAACAGTATAGTTTCAGTTCTAACTTTTCACTTTGATTTATGTTCTGGTATATCAATTTTCTGAGCGAATATGTAAACTACATAGGACTGGATACTTTTCTTATTTTTTTTCTTCACTTGAAATGTCAAGTTTAAAACGTTTATGGGCAGATAAATCCTCTTTTATTGATATAATATGGCCTTAAATGGTATCACATCATCTGAACCATGCTCCACAACACTATTTTTGATCTAAAATGGTAATTTCCCAGTCACTTATGGAAGATCATGCATTGACAAATGATTCACCCCTTTTCAGATTTGCATGAAGGCGAATGCAGTGCAGGCAGCCTATCCCTGGAGAGGCAATGTGAAAAGAAGCAGGAGAAACTTTCATTCTTCTCATCTATTCTTATCACTGTCAACATACAAATGCTGGCCCAGCGTGGCTCATGCCTGTAATCCCAGCACTTTGGGAGACTGAGGAGGCTGGATCACTTGAGGTCAGGAGTTCAAGACCAGCCTGGCCAACATGGTGAAGCCCCATCCCTACCAAAAAGTATATTTAAAAAAATTAGCCGGGTGTGGTGGCTCGCACCTGTAATCCCAGCTACTCGGGGGGCTGAGTCAGGAGAATCGCTTGAACCTGGGAGCCAGAGGTTGCAGTGAGCCAAGATCAAGCCATTGTACTCCAGCCTGGGTAACAGAGTGAGACTCTATCTCAAAGAAAGAAAAGAAATATACAAATGCTGAATCAATACCCTCAATGGGTTCCCATAACCTTCTCATAAAATCCAAGAAATAATGGTTTGGAATTCAGAAGACCTGATCTCATCCTATCATTGATGTACTACGTGCCCTTGTATACATCACTTTCCCTTTTTAGACCTTAGTGTCCCCATCTGTTAAATGAGACTAGACACCAAAGAAACACCCAACTCTACTCTATCCAACTTTATTTTCTCTCCACCAACTCTTTCTAGCCTCAGGCCATACTCCTACTCCACATCACAGGCTGTCCTGCTCCCCATTCTTACCTTCTCCATTCTCCCAACATCTCATCTCCTACACACCCTCAATAGGAGGTATAAAGTTGCTCCATGCTTCTAATATTAGATGATACTCATCACACAGTATCTGATACCATCCCCATGTGCACGGCTTTGTTTTTTAAATATACAGCCTGCTCTGGGTTTGCATCCTTCTCCTCCCACTTGTAACTTGGACTAGTTACTTAACTTTCTAAGCCTCAATTTCCTTATCTGTAAAGTGGGGATAGTAATGGCTTTCAAAGGGTTGTTGTGAGGGTTAAACAGATAGTAATGCCTACAAAATGCCTGGCATATGTGAACATTTAATTAAATAAATACAATATTACTAGTTGTTATTATTGTTACCACTTGAATGTAAGCTCCTTTAAGACAGAATCTCTCCCCTGTTCAACTCAGTTGCTGAAGGGTAATTAATGCAGTGTACTGTAAAGAACAGGGACTTTGAGATCAAAGGACCTGGGCCAAACCTATGAATGGTACCCTAGCAAGTCATTTGTCCTCGTTGAACTGGACTGAGAAGCTGTTTGAGGTTAAGAATTGTATCTTAATATTTCTGTGGACCTAGTACCTAGCACAAAGCTTGCCACATAGGTTTTCATTATATATGCAAAGGAAATATGAATATGAAAAAGAGCAACAGTGCTGTTAATGGATGCACCTCTATTAAGTCCTTTATACCTATTTTGTTGAAGAAAGCAAGCTGAAACATCTCTAACTTTAAAGTCTTAGGAGGAAAGCAAATGACACATCACCGAAAAAGAAAGGGAGAAAAAAGCATCCTGCTGTACAAGAGAAAAGGAAACGAATGGGTTCTCTAGCAGAGCAGGCAGCTTCATGCCCCAGATTTATGTCCTAGGTAGAACACTGGCCAAGGTTTTGGCATAGGCATGGACACGTGGGAGGACGAGGGACTTCAGTTCAGCTGCCTCAAGTGCAACCTGCTCTGAGCTAAGTGGCCAGGTTCAGGGAAACTATTCTCAGCGAAGAGCGGCCAGGCAGCTGAGCCCAGAGTTCCCATTTTTGACTCTTCCTCTCCAACCTCCCCCAACCAGCAGTCAGGTCCCGGGAGGTAATTAGTGTGGGGGAGAGGCAAAGCTTCTGAGGGGGCAGGGAGATGGGAAAGTACGGGTGGAGGCGGTCTTCTTGTCATAGGTCTCACCAAGAGAGGAGAGATAGAAAGAGAGAGAGATTTATTTTTGCACGTGAGCCATACCTAATGATATTCCCACAGACAGACAGACAGGAAGACCAAGAGAGGGACAGACAGGACACACTTGCGCGTTTGAAATCGTTCATACCCCCAAATCCAGGACGCAGCCTGTTGTCATAACCATCGAGCAAACTGTCCAGGATGCGGGTGAAATTTTCTGTGCACAATTTCTCCTCCTTTTGGTTCTGTCCTGGGGATTCGTTTAAACTGCAAGCGAAAAAAAAAAAAAAAAAAAAATGGGGGCGGAGGAGATTATTTTAAGAATCCATCAGAGAACAGGTGCAAACAGGTTTGTTTTCTAGGGAAAGAGTCGTTTGCCCCAAGCTAAAGGAGACGAGCCTGGGGGTTGGGATGCAGAAGACAGAAATGGTCAGGAAAAGCGCGCCCCGCCACAAGACCCCCAGTGCCCACATGCCTCTTGCATCCTGCGCCCTTCGTGCTCTCCGCATCTATGCGGTCACAGAAAAGCCTGGCTTCGGCCCCTCCTCTTACAGCTGAAATGTACACCCAGGGAGACCTAGTACACCCAGGGAGGAGCGAGTGGCCAAAGGGGTCCGGGAGCTGGTCATTTCTCCACTTTCCCTTGCCCACCTCCCCGCACCCCAGAGAACTCACCAAACCGCCAGGCACAGGAAGCGCAGGAGGGCGAAACTGACCCCGGCGGACAGAGCGATCGCGGGTACCTTCTTGGCAGAAACCATCTTTGCAACATGCCATACTTCAAGCCTGTTCACGTTTCCAGGCTCTTCAGATGCCCTGAGCAGGGTGCGAGGAGAGGGCAGAGAGGCTCCCGCGGCGTGCGCACACTCGCGCTCACACTCGCCCGCGCTCAGCCAGCCCGAGCCGCGGTGGGCGTGTGTGTGCACGGGGCCAGGGGAGGCGGAACCTGCCTTCCTCGCCCCCTCCTTTCTCGCTCAGCGCTCAATGTGTATGTAGAGCTATGTATACCGCTCCACACCCTTTCGTGCCCGCGCGCTGAAGGTTCTGGGGTTAGCATCCGCGCGCTTGCGCTGCTAGACTCGCCAAGTTTGTTCCGACCGTAACTCCGCGGATGAGGACCCGGGTCTCTCGCCCCTCCTCCGGCTCCTCAGCCCCCGACCCCAGGTGGGCTTCCCGCCCACAGCAGTGCTCGGCCTCCTCCCTCCTGGGCCCCTCCCTTCCGCTGGGATTTGGATCTAACCAATGAAGCTCCTCTCTCGTCAGGTTGTGCGAGGACCTGTTTGTACCCAGAGTCAAGGTTGGAGGTGGAGAAAGGGCGGGTGATGGGGACTGCTGGGCGTGGGGTGGTAGCGGTGGTGAGGAGAGGGGATCAAGTCCGGGCTCAAAAGACCTTTGAGACCCTCCCCTTCAGGTGTTATGGGGGGCGGTAGGGAGGGCAATGAAAGCGAAAAGATTCTTCCTGCTAACAGGGGTTACAACTCACCTGGCGGACTCTCGCCAAACTGTTGAGGAGTGGACTCGAGCCGCACTCTAGTCCCAGTATTTGCTAAGCTATTGCTTTAAAGACACCCCATTTCTTTACCCGCCTCCACCAGACACGCGCACACCCTCCTCTTTGCTGCTCCATCCTTTTCTGGAGAGGAGGGGAGAAGTGGAGACAAGTCACCTCTGGTCAAAATCACTTTCACTTCTTGCGACACTCTTCTTTTTCAGAATGGAGTTGACTTACTTCCAGAGGTTGACCGCTTTAGGTAGGGGGCAAGGATGGCTGGAGAGAGAAAGGCGGGGAACAAGAGAAAATGTGTGTGTGTGTGTGTGTGTGTGTGTGTGTGTGTGTGTGTGTGTGTGTGTGACAGAGAGAGAGAGAGAGAGAAGGTTGGGTATGGAGAGAAAGGATACATAAACTAAAATGGAGGGGGACAAATCTTAGTTCCCTTGTGACATGAAAGGGAACACTAAGCTCTATATCTTTAGTGTTTTACTGAGCAAAGATAAGCATTCCCAGTAGATCTTTGGAAAACATTAATTATTGGCTTCAAGGGGGAAAAGCGTCTTTCAAATTAGTAATGATGCATGTGGAAATTTTCATATGATAGATCAATGAGCTAAGTAATTCCCATCTCCTGGAACCAAACACCAATTAGGTTCTAGTCGGAACTCTGATGATTTGTTCAAATTGGGATGACTAGTGGACGGGTATGAAGAGGGATCGCATTGTATTAGACAGGGGTTTTGGTTTTTTGTGTGTTTTAAACGTCTGGATTCAAGTTTTCTTTCTAAGGGAAAGGCAAAATTGCCCATCGTGCGCAGTACCTACCTTCTCTGCATTCTGTACTGCTGTCTCCATGGAATTTGTTAACTTCATCCTAATTCCATCTCTGTCACTCTTTTCTCATAGACTGTGGTTTCTCTGAGGGCCTGGGCTAAGTAATTTTCACTCATCTGTGTTTATTTTACCTGTTGTTACAGTGCATGGCACATAGAATGTCAATAAATATTTATTGAATGAACAATTAAACAAAGCAATGAATTGCTTGTTCCCAGATCCATCTCATAAATTTGGATGACATTCAAGCTCCCTCTTTTGGGAAAAATAATTGAAGTACTAGTGTATCCTACATATCCTTTCATATGCCATGAAAGCATTGGTCACCACAGATTCTCCACATATTATATTATTTCTCTAATCTTAAAACTTTCCTACCTTTTTAAAAAGAGAGTTTAGCTCTGTTGCCCAGGTTGGAGAGCAGTGGTACCATCATAGCTGACTACAGCCTCTAGCTCTTGGGTTCAAGCAATCCTTCTACCTCAGCCTTCTAAGTAGTTGGAACTACAGGTATATGTCACGATGCCCGGTTAATATATTTTTATATTTTTGTAGACATGTGGGGGCTCTGTGATGTCACCAGACTGTGCTCAAACTCCTGGCCTCAAGCGATCTTCCTGCCTCTGTCTCCCAAAGTGCTGTGATGACAGATGTAAGCCACTACCTTACATTTGCAAGCCTATTCCTATACTTTCTGAAACCTAAATTGGTATTTTTCTACCACTCTCCCTTGTAATTTTCATTTTTAAAATACATATATCAAAAAATTAACAACCCAAAATAATGGCTTTGGGGAAAAATGTTACATATTGTATCTTTAAAATTCAAATTTAAAATCTGTGAAACTATTATATTCAAATTAAAAGAACATTCTTTCAGAGTAGCTACTTCCAGTTGTATTTTTATTAACTGGGTTATAGTATTCAAGTTCAGCTGAAGATAATAATAAAGACATTTATATCTCATTTCATTTTATTTCACAGTCTTTCATTCATGCTACTTTTATATTACTTCAAGAAGATATATGTTGAATTTCACTGCCTGAAATCTTTTTAAAAAATTGCTTGTTAACATGAGGGTTTTTGTTGTTGTTGTTGTTAGAAATCAAACATTCTGAAATGTTATAATTTACCTTAACTTGCAAATATAAATATGCTATTGTTTCCCACGTAAACTCCTATTTGTGATAGCCCAGGATTGTGAGTGAATTATTATTATCTGTGTAGCTGTGCAGAAATATGAAGGTGTTAAATCATACCTATACTTTTTTTTTCTTTAAGTTGATATAAGCCTCTGATTACTAGGTTTAGTAGAATTTGAATTGGGCCCAAGTACATTACCCCCAAATATCATTATATTAAGCCAGTCACATTTTATAGATTTAACAAATGAGTTTACTTCGAATATAATAAGATGCAAATAATACAGCTAGCCCAACTGCTAACGTCTTAGGATGGACCCTTTAAAGTCCACAGTGCCTATGAAATGCCCTGAAAATGAACACAAAATCTTGTGTTTATGTAAATATGTGCATTTTCCTGTGAGACTGTTTATCTCTCATCAAGTTCTTATAGGCCATGGACCAACATTTTAATATAAAAGATAACTCAAATAATAGAACATTCAACCAAACAAGTGAATGAATATTTGTAGTTAATGTGTGATAAAAATCTCTATCACATTTTATAAGCTTCCCCATTGCCAGTTTCTATAGACTGTCATGTAGATCTTAAGTCTCTTGTGGGTACTTGGTCCCATTTATTGTCAATTTATCATATGTCCAATGAGCTTGGTACACAAAATATTTGAGTGGTAATAAAGTAAATAGTCCGAAAGGGTTCAGCCTGTTCCTGTTTTTTTTTTTTTTTTCATTAATTCTTTCTGGTAAATATTGAGCCAACTGTAACCATTTGAGAGGGTACTGATGTGAATTACTGCTTTAAATTCTGAAGACTTGTAGATATAGGCCCAGTTTGAAATGTTTTTGTTCCAAGAATTTAGAAGCTGTTGACAATTTTATGTTAATGTATTTCTCTGTCCCTTGTATTTTGCATAGGTGAGAAGAATTGATTTGATACTCTCTTAGTTAATGCCTTTTCTTATGTGTATTAAAACAGTGTTTCCACTGAAATATTACCTGTATATCAGCCTATTATCATTGTCTAGTTATAGATTTTTTTATCTTCATTCATTTCTTATTGTATGTATTCGAGGTATACAAAGAGATGTTTTGATATACATATATAGCAAAATGACTTTTACAGTCAAATTAACATATCTACCACCTTACATAGTTACCTTTTTGTGTGTGAGGTTCGAGTACCTAAAATCTACTCACTTAGCAAATTACTCTTCAGTGCACAATGAAACATTATTAACTGTGGCCTCATGCTGTACATTGGATCTTATTATACATAACATATTATATTGTATATTATAATTAAGATTAAATATTATATAATATATAATAATGATAACTTTCTTATACAGACCTATAACTTTGTATGCTTCAAGCTGTATCTCCTAAATTCCCCCCACCACCCCTCTTTTGGAAACTACCATTCTACTCTCAGTTTCTACGTATTTGACTATTTATAGATTCCACAAATAAGTGAGATCATTTCATATTTATTTTTCTGTGCTTTCTGTGTCTGGTCTATTTCACTTACTATATGTCCACCAGGTTCATCTATGTTGTTGCAAATGGCAGTATCCCTTCTTTTTTAAAGCTGAACATATATGTGTGTGTCTATATATATGTACACACACACAAACATACACACATATATATATGCACACATACCCATATACATATAACGGTTTCTTTATTCATTCATTCACTGATGGACACACATAGGTTGTATCCATATCTTGACTATTATGAATAATGCTGCAATAAACATTAGAGCTCAGATATCTCTACAAGATGCTGATTTTATTTCCTTTGGGTGTATGTTCAGAAGAGGGATTGCTAGGTCATATAATAGAGCTATGTTTAGTTTTTTGAGGGACCTCCATACCGTTTCCACAATGGCTGTAGCAGTTCACATTCCCACCAACAGCGTCAAGGGTTTCCTAATCTGGGAGAATTTAACATATTGTATTTGAGTAAACATTTCATAATACCAGTTAATACTGCTGTCAAAATAAGAATTTTTTTTTGCCATATAGTTAATGCAGATTTAGTTATTTCAGTGCAATTGTTTGAAAAAAATAAAATTTTGACAATATTTTTATCTGAATAAACTCTACACATGAAATTTGGAAAGTCACCTATTATAGTATATATTTTAGGTTATTAATTATTTTTTATAATTTTCTGAGATCAAGTTGGACATTAAGACAATATATCAACACTTAATAGTCTCCAAGATCTCACATTAATTTGAAATACATTCAGAAATATTAGTTATTCAATATTAGCTTTTGTTTTCTTTGAAAGTCTGAAGTTTTAAAATAAGTGGAAAGAATACAGTTTAAGGGAATACAATCCAAGTAATACATTTGATAACTACTTTTGGGCTCAATTGAAAATGCCTAATAATGTATGAAGCATTATTTTACTCATCAGACCTTGAATTCTGAAATAAGCTCTCAGGATAAGTTTAGAAGTACTACTCCAAAGAGCCATAATTGTGTGTGTGAGATTGTGGGTGTGATTGTGTGTAATTAGTACAGAGTACTAATTATTACAAGAAACATTCCTTTAATTATGTTAGGTATATGTATGGTATGTGTGTATTTTTAAAGTTTCTGAAAAAGATTATATTATTGTTAAGAAATAGATTTATTTTCAGCACCTAATAGTAATGGTCTACAAGGATAATTTATGCATTACCAGTAGTGCCCCAAATTAACCCATATCATTCATTTAGAGGGGATACACAAAGATGTAAATACTGGAGGTATGATTCATTTGATGGCCATTTAAACATTGTTAAATTTGTTGCCAAGTGCCTATTTTATAATGAATACAATGTTATGTCTTGTTTCAAGACTGATAAGGGACTAATAGAACCACTTTGGAAAGCAGTTTGCCAATACGTTTAAGTTTTAACATATTGATACCATATGACCAAACCATCTAATTTAAATTTTATATCTCCAAGAAACTCTCAAACATGTTCATGAGGAGACATCTAAAATATGTTATGTTGTTTGTAATAGTGGAAACTTAGAAACAAATTAAATGTCATTTAACAGGGAAGTGGATACATTATATTGTGGTGTAAAGAGAGAACTAGACCACAATTAAAATAAGGAAATAAGATATATGTTTCAATATAAATATATCAGGAGTAAATGTACACAAAATAAGCAAGAGGCAAAATAAAGAAACCATTCTCCAAAGAGTTGAAGACACCAATGACTGACAGAAATTGTTTAGTTTACATGATAACGGATAAAAAAGAAACAG